CTAAATACAATAAAATAAAAATGCATACAGAAGTTATTAAAGTATATTCCACTGCGTATCCTAATTCCCCGCTCATAGAACCCTATAACCACCGTTTTCGTAGGACAACGTGCTGGGACTAGGGTATATGATGGGGGCTACATAAGCTACTGTTTCCCCGATTTCTTTTTATAAAAAGAACGATTCTTAAGTCAAAATATTTTGTACATATTACCATTAGTGGATAACTATTTCTTGATTATCTTCCAAATTAGTGTGGCATAGTTTTCATCGTTTTCAGTGTCCTCATGTGACCATTCATTAAGTCCGCTTCTGTTCGACGTTTACATCAAAAACTTTAAAATAAGATATGAATAAAGGGCATTTACCGGAAAAAAAGTGTTTTTGGATACTAGTTGTTATGAAGATGGTCATGTGGCTCATATTGAGAAATACCTCAAAACAGCAAACCACGTTGTCGAGAATAAACAATGTCCGCAACGGAATTCTGATATTTTTATTGCTAAGCTTAATAAAAACTTTCTCTAATAGGTTACCTCTTTAAAAAGTGCTTTGATTAGATATTCGGCTGACGAATTTCTGTGCATATTAACTTTTTTCCAAGGTAATGTCACAATGAAATTGGAGACTTTCGACAATTTCTTTAATTTACATGAAGATATACGATTCAATTTGACTGGAGATGAAAGAACTTAATTTTCTCTTTGTAATGGATTATTGTCCGCATAAGTGGATTAATTCCACGATCTGTTATAAGCTTGCGAATGCAAAAAAGACTGGCCACATATGGCCATTTTTTGAAATATTTATTATTCTTCCGTCTGTTCCGTTTCTAAATAACACATAAGCGGAATGTATAGTTTACAAAAACTATATTTTTACACGAATCAAATTCAACAAGGCATTATTTACATTACCTTCGCGGTAACTTATGCAGACACTTTGTTTATGCGCGAGTAGGGCGGTGCGGTAAAACAAAATTCCGACGGAAAAATTTTTATTATTGCATTTTGTGTGAAAAAATTTCACAGGTTAGTTAAAAGTCATTTTTAAAGCTTAAATTGCTGCTTGTTTCTGAAAATAAATTCGATTCCTTAAACTTGGCTTCACTTCCATTTGAACAACTTCGCACAAAATTTTCCAATTCTGGAAGGGACAATTGTTCCACGCGCGCGCGTTCGGTGCGTACGTTTGCGTGGGGACACAGAATGGCCTGGTAGAGGATTATTGGACTTCCTAGAAAACTCTGGAAGAGTTCTCTAGAGAATTGCCACTGGGGCTCATGTTTTAGCCAAAATTGGTGCCTATTTTGCCCCATAATTTTAACTAAGAGGGCAGTTTTCTAAAATAAAGTCTTTCTAATTATTATATCCACTCAGTTGATCAAAATAACCTGGCAAAATATATGCTTATCTATCAAGTTAAATTTCGTCATGAAAGTTTCTTTCAGCACTCGCAATACTGTATGCAGGCCCCAACGCGCGTCTCCACGACCACAGTTAGTGACCTACTGTTTCCAGACGACTGCGCTCCCAACACCACACCAGAATCCGACATTCAAAGGAGTATAGAACTCTTCGCCGCAGGTTGCATAAACTCTAGTCTCACCATCAACACGGATAACACGATGATCATGCAGCGACTGCCGCCGGGTGCTGACTACAATGCTCCACGTATCAAAATCGACGGCGCCGAGCTCAAAAACGTGGACATCTTCACCTATCTCGGCAGCACGCTATCCCGCAACACCAAAATCGATGACAAGGTTGCTCGACGGATCTCCACAGTCAGCCAAGCCTGCGGCCGGCTTCAAGCCTTTGTGTGGAACCGTCACGGTCTCCAAATGTCCACGAAACTGAAGACATACAAGGCCACTGTACCAACCAAGCGCCGAAAATAAACCATTTCCATCTCAGCTGTCTCCGCCGGATACAAAAGTTCAGATGGCAGGACAGGATCACGGAAGTCCTGGAGAGAACGGGAGTTCTCAGCATCAATGCCATGCTTAGGCATTTATAATTACGCTGGAGCAGCCACCTGGTACGGATGAACGACCAACGACTACCCAAGCGACTGTTTTACGGCGATGTCGCTGTAGGTGCTGGCCGCAAAGGAGGACAAAAGGGGCGCTATAAGGACACTCTGAAGTGTCTTAAAATCAACACGGCGACCTGGGGACTCGCGCATGACCGATCTG